CCCGCCAGGCGTGTGAGCGGCTGCCAGGCAGGTCTGCTGGCCGGGGGCGAGCGGAACGTGCACGGGTTCCCGCTGCGCTTCGCTTGAAGAAAAAAATTCTTCAAAGCAAGTAGCCTGCCAGGATCGAGGCTGATAGTAATGCCAAGAATTAAAACCCCACTAAATAGCCACCCCTAATAATCTAATGTGTAGTAATCGTTTCTTAAACTGGTTGAGAAGTATCTGGATGGTTGCTTTTATTCTCTTGGAAAGCTGAATCTAGTATATTCACAATATAGCAGAATTATTTTTTAATGCAACAAACTAATTTTTTTTTTTTTGAGTTGGAGTCTCACTGTTGCCCAGACTGAAGTGCCCAGATCTCTACAATAAATCAAAAAATTAGCCAGGTGTGGTAGCGTGCCTGTAGTTCGAGCTACTTGGAAGGCTGAGCGGAAGGATCGCCGGAGCCCAGCAGGTGGAGGCTGCTGTGGCCGGGAGTGGCCACTGCACTCCAATCTGGGTGACAGTGAGACTCCAACTCAAAAAAAACCCCAACAAAATTTTAAAAAAGGTTTACTCCTGTCTGTTTAGACACATAACACGATTTTCAGTGGGGGCTTAAACTGGGTTCTCTCAATCCCACAAGTGACACACAATTTTAGTTACTCATCTTAAAATTCTTAAATACACTAACCAGGACGTCTCCACAAGATGCCAACACCCAAAACATCTTAATCCATATCCACTGCTAGAATATTTTTATTTTAAAATGTACCACAGTGAATGGATGTATCCATATTGGTTTTTATAAATGTACACAGACACACCCATCTATATATATACAAAGTATATATATGTCACTGGTTAAAGACCTGTCCAAAAGAGGAAATCACTACTAGAAAGTTAATGTGTTTACATTTCATGACAATTACAACATGTATTTGAATGTAGGTTCATGTGCTTAGCAATGACTAATAATACCAATAGCTGCCAATAACAATGACTAAATAAAGGACTACAAATTTCACTGCTGTGCCTTGGGCCAAAATTTTCCATGATGGATAGTTTTTTCTAAGATTCTATTGCTTTAGTGAACCTAAAAAGTGATTACCCTTCACCACAAAAATGTGATGGAATCCTGAATAGCAAACTTACTAACAATTATTTCTGTCGTGGGCATATACTCAGAAGGAATAAGTATGTCATTGTCACAAAAACACTATTATCTGTGAGCTCAAAAAGGCGTCACGCCATAATAAATCATTCTTATTGGAAAGGCTCTCATTTAGGTGCCACTGCAGATTTGCTCCTGCTGAATGAAAAGGCAAGACCCCATTTCTCATCTTGCGAAGGAGGAAAGCCTTTTAAAAAACTCTGAACAAGTTTCAGTCGAGATGTCGAGTGCAACACAGCAGCACTTATTGACAAGGATGGAGTAATACGTTCACAAGGAAAGCCCTAAGTCTACATTGAATGGTATCTTGGGCAGCAAAAAATGACTACTAACAAGGACAGGCATCCCATGTCAAAGTGAAAGTGGCTTGGAAGCAAGGAAAGACAAGAGTGACATTTACCCCACAAACTGCTTATGAAATCCTTCATGATTCTGAAAAGACAGCGAGTGGTCACATAACCCAAACTAGAGAGAGGAGCCATCTGAGTATCTACCAGTTGGGCCAACCAGTTAGATTTTAACACTGCCTGGTGTGCCACCTGAGTTCTGATTTCCTCTCCACGGAGAAAGCCAATGTTCGTGTTCATGTCTTTCTGGCGGATACGGTCCACACCCATCTGACCTCAGAACACTGGGTCCAAGAGTCAACTTCTTACAACACTGATGTCTTTTCCTTGAGTTCCTTCTTGATGCTAAATCAACATGTTACCATAATCTGACAATATGGGGCATAAAGGAACTGTATATGAGTCTCCATGATATAGAATTTATGGTTAAAATTATGTAAGACATTTTTCTTGTGTCCACTCATTTAATAGGTTATTTTGGAATGCTCAGAAGAGTTTACTTTCAGTCTCCTAAGGCCTCCTAAGACATAATTTAAAGTGGGACTTGATTTATTTTTTATTTTCTTTCTTCTTCTTCTTTTTATTTTTTGCTGTCTCCAGAACCTCAAGATAAAAGTTGGACTTGAATAGGAACAAGTATCTTCAGACTCTAGTTGAAACAGTAGACAGTTTTTGTTTAAATCCGGGGAAATCTCAGATAACATGCCTTGTATGTGAAACTGAAAAAAGATCAAATAAGCACACAAAAGTAAAGAACACAACAGGTATCAAGGTGGGTAAATGCCCAATTACCTTCAGTCCTCATAATCTGTGCACGCTAGGGGGTACAAGTAGGCCACATCTCACTAGGCAGAGTTTGAGCAAGATGCTTTCCTGTTTGATGCACAAGGAATTATTTAGGAAAATAATGGAGATGGAAGAGGGAACAGTTCTGTGCTTCTTGCTGTGTTACCTTTATTATACTCCCACCATCACTGAGACAGTTTAAAAACAGCCCGCAACAAGAATGTTCTAATCACCAGCCACCTTTTCCACCTTTCTTCTTTTTCTGTTGCTGTTTCTTTTTTGTTGCTGGAGCCCCTGCAGGTTTTTGGTGTCTTGGGGGTATGATGTTACTTGTGGAGGCAGATACTGTTGCTGCACTGCCAGGTCTTGGGGAAGTTGGTGGGCTGCTCACAGTTTTACTGGCATCCCTGGAATAATCAGATCAGGCAATTTTTAGTCATATTCAACGAAGGAAAAGTTTATAAAAATGTATGTATATGGATTTTATTTACCACCTCTAACAATCCCCCACACATTTCTACTTCTTTGAAGGCGGGTTCCCCAACTCCTTACCTACTTTTCTTTCAAATAGTTTTTACAGTTTTATAATTAAAGAAAAAGTAATACATGGTGCATGACAATTTTTAGAAAGCATAGAAAATGACCAAATTTTTAAATGACCCATAATCCTATCACACACAGCTTATTAACGTTTTAATACTTCTTTCTAGTCACATTATTTATATCTATGTAGATATTTATTTGAACAGCTCAGTACACTTAGTTTCCATTTGAAACTAGTTTTTCTTTTAGTCTTTACAATTACAAATGGTTTAGGTATTTATGGCACAATATAATCAAATCAGAAATATTTTTCTTTCTTTATATAAGCATACCACAAACATTTATCAAAAATGTATCACTATCACTATACTTTTCTTCTTTTTTTAGGGAGGGTCAGAGTCTCACTGTCACCCAGGCTGGAGGGCAGTGGCACGCTCATGGCCACCGCAGCCTCAACCTGCTGGGCTCTGGCGATCCTTCCGCCTCAACCTTCCAAGTAGCTGGAACTACAGGCATATGCCACCATGCCCAGCTAATTTTTTGATTTATTGTAGAGATGAGGTCTCACCAAGTTTCCCAGGCTGGTCTCAAACCCACAGGGCTCAGGCAATCCTCTCACCTTGGCCTCCCAAAGTGCTGGGATTATAGACATGAGCCACCGTGCCTGGCTGACTGTACTTTTCATACTTAAAATATAGTAACAAATTTTCAGTAATAGCCTTGAGTCAATCTCAGAATCAATCTCAGAAAGAAGCCGTGTATGTTCTAAGTGACCCTAATATTGGAGCAATAGCTTACAGTTCGGATGAAGCGCCGGCAGTTGCGCCCTGGGTCCCCTTTCCAATCTGATCCTTCTTTTTACCCTTCTTTCTTCCGCGGTAATAAGAACGTTCTCGCATTGGTAGCCATCTTTCTGGATCTGGGGTAACTTTTGGGTCATAATTCTTAGGCAGTTTTCCTGTATAACAATTGATAAAGAAATGAGAGATGAGCCCACAGTTTGCTTAAACAATGTGTCCAAGCCTGTGAATAAATAACATTAAAACTGAAATAAATTTATTCAAGAAAGTTTTATTTGTGTGATCTAACAGAGGAAAAGGTCTTATTTCTAAACATGACACAATATTCAGAGACCATAAAGAAACAGGCTTCACAAACGTATTTATATAAAAGTTTGAAAATTTCCATGTAGTAAAAGACACGGCTAAGAAAAATTTGAAAATTTACATACTATTAACAGAGTGAAGCCGGGCTCGGTGGCTCAGCCTGTAATCCCGCGCTTTGGGAGGCTGAGGTGAGTGGACTGCCCGAGCCTGTGGGTTTGAGATCTCCTGGGCAACTTGGTGAGACCTGATCTCTACAATAAATCAAAAATTAGCCAGGTGTGGTAGTGTGTACCTGTAGTTTCAGCTACTTGGAAGGCTGAGGTGGAAGGATTGCTGGAGCCTAGCGGGTCGAGACTGCGGTGGCCGGGAGCGTGCCACTGCATTCCAGTCTGGGCAACCGAGTGAGATTTCAACCACAAAAAAAAACAAAAAAAACAAAAAAAAACCCAAAAACGAAGCAGATAAAAACCCTTACTATAAAAAAAATTCTTGCTAATCGATATGTAAACCACTCTAAAAAATGGGCACAGTTATAATTAGGGTAAGCCAGGAGAAAAAAAAGTCATTAATCCTCTGAATAGATGTTCAACCTCACTAATTAAAAATGAGGAGGGCAAAAAATTTGATCAGACTTAAAATATTAAAAGTAGTAACACCCAGTGCTGGTGAACTGGTGAGAAACATTCACTACTACTGGTACAGCCTTTCGGGAGAGTAATTTAATCTGACAGCAGTTAAAATTTATAGACTTTAGAAATGTATCCCACAGAAACTCATATGACATAAAGTTAAGAATATTCTCCAAACTGGGCTCAGTGGCTCAGCCTGTAATCCCGTGCTTTGGGAGGCTGAGGTGAGTGGATTGCCTGAGCCTGCGGGTTCGAGACCCGCCTGGGCACTGTGGCGAGACCTCATCTCTACAATAAATCAAAAAAATTAGCCAGGCATGGTAGTGGACGCCTGTAGTTCCAGCTACTTGGAAGGCTGAGGCGGAAGGATCGCTGGAGCCCAGTAGGTCGAGGTTGTGGTGGCTGGGAGCGGCCATTGCACTCCAGTCTGGGTGACAGAGTGAGACTCCAACTTAATAAAAAAAAAGAATATTCTCCATTTTATGTATATATATATTTTGAGTCGGAGTCTCACTCTGTCACCCAGGCTGAAGGGCAGTGGTATGATCATGATAATCATGGCTCACGGCAGCCTCGATCTCCTGAGCTCAAGTGATCCTACTACCTCAGCATCCCAAGTAGCTGGGATTACAAGCACATCCCACCACAGCTCGCTAATTTTTTTTGTCTCGCTATGTTGCTCAAGCTGGTCTCAAACTCCTTGGCTCAAGTAAATCGCCTGCCTTGGCCTCCCAAAGTGCTGGGATTACAGGCATGAGCGACCATGCCATGACATTCTTTAAGGTAGCAAAATAAATGTTTATCATTGGGAATAATTAAATTATAATATACCCACAATATAGTAAACTATACAATAGGGTTAAAAAATGAAGTGCATCTATATTTACTAATTTGGAAGAATGTTCTTTACAATTCAGTCTAAAGTAAAAGGGTAAAACCAATTATCATGGTATTCATATCAATTTTGTAACTTTTCCTGACTGAGCACCTAACCAGTATGTTTCTGTATGTTTTAAAAAAAGGTAATCATCTCTGGGAGTGAATTTGAGGTAGGGAATCTTTCTACTCATTATGTCACTTTATAATGATATCAACTTCCTTTGCTTTTTTGTTTTGTTTTTAGAATGACCATGCATCACTTGGTAAGCTTTTATTTATTTATTTATTTATTTATTTTGAGTTGGAGTCTCACTCTGTCGCCCAGACTGGAGTGCAGTGGCTGCTCCTGACCACTGCAGCCTCGCCTGCTGGGCTCCAGCGATCGTTCCGCCTCAGCCTTCCAAGTAGCCGGAAATGCAGGCATGCGCTACCATGCCTGGCTGATTTTTTGATTTATTGTAGAGATGAGGTCTTGCTGCCCAGGTGGGCTCAGGCAATCCACTCACCTCAGGCAATCCACTCACCTCAGCCTCCCAAAGGCACGGGATTACAGGCTGAGCCACCGAGCCCGGCACTTGGTAAGCTTTTAAAGGTATTCACTGAGAAACCACAAAGGTAGGAAAAAAAAAAGTAAAGTTGCAGGTGATTATTACCTACAGTTATCAGGTATTACTGATATATAAAACAAATACTGAATTTTATCAATTTTTAAGTACTGTGACAAAAGTAAAGAACCAATAAGACGGGCAACCCCTTCGGGTCCCCTCCTACTGTTGGAGCTTTTCTGTGCTCTCAATAAATCCTGCTTTCTAAACAAAACGAAACAAAACAGGCCAATAAGACATCTAGTTGGACTGAATTTAAATATTAGCTTGTGCAACTTCCTCACAGTCCACAAAAATGGTAATAAACACATTGGAAGAAAGAATAGAAGAAAAGACATTATCAAAATTGTGGGAGGTGGAAAACTGATGGAGGAGCAGTAATAAACTTAGTCAAGACTTAGGAAACCTATATCCTAAGATAGCAACAAGAAAAATCAAGCAGCTTCATTGAGGGGGCGGGGGAGAAAAAAAAAAAAGCAGCAGCCTAATTTATGCCACATACTCCTCAAGAACTCAGGTGGCTCCAGGGATAAACTTTGACTAGGTGAAGGCAAGCATGGTCATTCCACACACTCCTACCAGAGATTAGAAACACACACCTGTCAATGCATGCTATTCCCCTGGTTCATGAATCAGGGTTGGACACTGACCTCTGCTGGCCCAATCAGATTCATGAAAAAGGCCTGCCAGGTCCAGAGAGGACTTCTTTGTCCGGGTAGATATAAATGACAACTATGTGGCCCCAACTGTTTCCAGTAAACTTCTATGACTCCAGTGGGGTTCAGTTTTGTGGACAGCAGTCCAAAGAGATACAAGTACTGAACCAACCAACCTTGATGTTAACATTCCTCTACACTGCTAGTTTTATAAACAGTACATTTTCTTAAACCAGTCTGATGGGAGTTTTATGGTATTTGTAGCTAAGACATCCTAATGTATAAGGGCCTACTGTGTGCCAGCCACCACTCCAAGAGCTTCACATGTAGTATCTAATTTAATCACATGAGGTTTATGCTAACATCTTGCAGAAGAAAGGCTCAGGCGGGTATGTTAACTAACCTGTCCACAGTCACATAGTAAAAGAGCACCAGAGCAACAACCGAATTGAGGCAAATTCGAGAACTGCACTCTTGAAAGTAACAAAATTAAATGTTAACTACTGTCAAGACAGAATGTGTTCAGAAAGGAATCTGAAGATGTAAAAACGGCCTTACCCTTCTTTTTCTTCTTCTTCTTTTTCAAATCTCCCTGCCTACAAAGAGAAGAATCATTACCGTCTTTGGGATAAAGTATTTATAGAGCATTAAAAATGTGCAAAACAGTGACTTGAACCCTTTATCATGAAGATTTTCTTTGATCTTTTTGGTAGAGAGGGTCTTGTGATGTTGCCTAGGCTGGCCTCAAACCCCAGGGCTCAAGCAATCCTCCCATCCATCTCCCAAAGTGTTGGGATTACAGGTATGAGCTACTGCACCCAGTCTCACAAAGGCATTTAAGACTGGGTAGAGCTCACCAAAGTTAACAAACCAGCTGAGACTAATTCAGATAAAATTCAGTGACGCTTCAGATACCGTAATTTCTGGAAAGTTGTTTAGAAAAAAAGAGAGGTAAAAACTGTTTTCAGAAAACTTATACAATTTACATTGAAAAAAGTTTTAAGTAACACACACTAAGTCTATGTAAAAAGGTAAATAATTTGTACCAGTATGAAAATCTACAATACCTTGGTAAGCTACCCGTTCTTTGGCAAGACTTTAGAGAACAGATAAACTTTGCCACAAGACCATGTAAGACAAGTGAAGAATATCTCCGGAAGGATATTCAAAACAAGCCACATTGGTTATGACCCAGGGTGGGAGGAGGGTAGACAAGGATAGAGGACTTTTTCCTTACTTTGCTCTCTTATCTTTTGAACCTGTGAGTTTAAAGCTGCAGTGAAAAGAGGAAGACATAAAAATATATTTATCTCTGTATACCGGGGGTGCCACAAAAACAGTATATGCATTTTAAGAGATATTATCTATGCATTATTTTTCGAAGTTGAATTGAATTATGGTAGCAGTGTGTAGTATGATGTTCGTTCAAAAGATGGCATTAAACAATGTGACAGGCAGGACAGTCAAAGAAAATGGCAGAAGCATGGTTGTTATTCGAAGAGTGCATGACCATTTTGAAGTGGTATTTGAAATTCAAGAACACTGTAGAAGTACAGCAACAATGGAGGCATGAGTGTGCAACAGAACCTCCAACACGCCTAACAACTGCACGCGTTCATGGTAAGTTTGAGATGCATGGCGCTGTGTGCGATGTGTACAAGGGAAGATCTGGGAGGCCTCACACAGCAACAAGTTCTGCAGTAATTCGTCATAATCACAAGTGTCTGGCTGGAAACTGACGGTAACCACTCTGAGAACCTCTTGTAATTGCAGAAGTCAGATGTGACTTGTATCCATCTTTTGTTATCGGTATATATTGAGCATTATAATTTTTAATATAATGTTTTCCTTTCTTAAAATGTGTATCCATTTTTTTGGCACCCTCTTTATACTCACTTGTGAACTATGAATCAGTGAACTAAAAAGATGAGACACCAACAATTTCTACCAAAAATTCATTCTACAAGTCATTTTATTGTGAAAGTTCTTTCAGAATATCTGGAAGAATAAGAAATGCAATGCACAGTAGTTTACTTTAGTGTTTCATTTCTTATCCAGACTCTGCAATATTATTCTAACCTGTCTCCCTAAAAATCATATGCCATAGCCCTACCTACAATTTCCCAAAGGCTCTCTGCCATTTCTTATTTCTCCACCTTTGCTCATCATCCTTTGCCTTCCTTACCCTCTCGTCTTCCTCAGAGTCAACACAATCGCCTCCTCCATGAAGCCCTTCCTAACTCCCCACTGTCCTGAGGAAGAACTGATTATTCTGTCTGGTGCACTCCATCCAGTGCACTACGCCCTGCACAATCCTAACAGGTACAGCCTTTATTGTAATTACTGTTTAAATATATTTCCTTCTGCTGGACTTATGTTCTTTTGAGGCAAAGACCATGATTTTTTTTTTTTTGGTCAACATCTAAAATAAACCTGTCATACTGCAATTACCCAAACCTATTTGTTGAAGAAAACAGTGAAAATAATTCAATAGGTATTACTTGAAAATCTGCTTAAGGCCTGGCATGAATTTATTTCAGTTTGGGATTCCTGAAAAGGCCTGAAATGACAATCACAAAATGAAGTGGAATCTGGAACAACGTAACATTTTTATGTTTTATTTTGTTTTTAGAGATGGGTCTTACTAGTTGCCCAGGCTGGTCTCCAACTTCTGGGCTTAAGTAGTCCTTCTGCCTTGATCTCCCAAAGTGATGGGAAGACATAGGTGTGAGCCACCATGCCCAGCCCAATGTAACATTTTTGGGACTCTTTAATGTTTTAAAAAGTTATTAGGAGAATGACAATGCTTTTTATGAAACACAGTTTGTAATAAAGGATGTCAATCCTGATTTTTAAGTTAGAAAAAAGTTAGATTTCAAAGAGCATTCAGAAAAGGAGAAAAGCTGGGCGCAGTGGCTCACACCTGTAATCTCAGCACTTTGGGAGGCTGAGGCAGGAGATTGCTTGAGCCCAGCAGTTTGAGATCAGCCTGGGCAACATAGCAAGACTTCATGTCTATATTAAAAAGAAAAAAAAAAAAAGGAGAAAATAGTGAAAAATTATGAAAGTACAAAACTGGGGAAGTGTTTTCCAAGTATCCATGCTCTATTCATTCTGGAGCAAAGAATCTTAACAAACATTTTACTGTAGGCTTTTGCTAATTGTGCTTTTAAGATGGCAATGTCAAAGAGGAAAGAATCAGAATTTGACTCCTTACAAGTATAAGAAGCTGCCTAACCTTTTCCCCAAATATGCAAAACAAACCACCTGCACTTTGGTTCAGAAATACTAAATGATGTTCCAAGTGTACATCAATAACTCACAGGTAAAGTAAGGCACCTCCGGCCTATGGAATATTATGCATAAAAAAGATGAACTATGCCCACATTTTAGCACGTCTCTAAGCTCTCCAAGACTTATTAAACAAAAGAGAGTTGGAAAAGAGTAAGAACAACATACTCCTCCTTCTACTAAAAATATAAACCAATATAAGGAAAATATCTATAAACTACCTGTGTATGTAAACAAAAAGATCTGGAAGGCTACACTTAGTCAACACCACAGGTTAATTTGGGGCTGGGGGAAGGGAGAAATGAAGACTAAGAGCGGGCTCTGAAAGAAAAGGAAAAGAAACGAAGAAGACTAGAACTGTACTCACATGCAATTTTTATGAGAATGGATTTTTTTACTCTTCACATAATTTAAAATCAGCGTTAGAGAATATTACAATGGAAAGCATTACCCTTGCTCCTTTGGTTGACTATCTCCAGTGACTTTTCCACCCTTCTTCCGAATATATGTAGCACCAGGAGAATTTTCAAGAGCCTCAACATCTACTTTTAGAGACATACTATCTGACGAGGGCAAGTGTTTACTAAGACTGAGATGCAACAGGAGTTCAGGAACACAATATGTACATACACACACGTAATTATATGTATATATATATATATATATATATGGATGCCAGTATGTCTACTGACACTAGAAGACACTGTCTTTTCTTGATGCCCTTCAAAAAAAGCAAAAAAATCTTAAGTCTTCTACAGATAACACATCAGCAAGTCCTACCAATTATACAGCACATTATAACAATTACATAGCACTTATAGTATCCTGAAAGAACTTGCAGAGTCATAATCTAATCTATCCCTGAACTCAGCAATACACTGTTTAAGGCGGTAGCTTAAAAAAAACTCCATTCCAAACAACTACTAAGTTTATGCTTTGTGACTGTTTAGCATCCACTATGCCACCTTGGTCTTGGGAACACTCCCTGAGTAGAGCAACACCTATGAGCCAAGCTCAGTCAATCAGAGCGCTGAATCTTCTCATCAACAGTGACTGAAATGGGCACGTGACCTAAATCAGAATAACATTTAATCAGAGTAACATTTCATAATCATGTGCAACTACTGACATAAAATATGCTTTTTCTTTTCTTTTTTTTAGCCACTGGACTTGAACCTGGAGGAATATAGGCTACCCTCTATTGACTTCATTTTGCCTCTGAAGCAAACTATACCTCAAGTTGTATATATCACTGCATTTTTCAATCACAATGATCAATAAACACTCAACTCTGCTTTTACTAATTAAGAGGAGGTTTGTTAGTTGATTTCCCAACAGAAAGAGCTCTGGTCAAAACACAGGTGCTAGAGAGCTCTATGTACTACTGGGGGCTGGAACAACGATCAAAAGGATACGCTTTGGCTTTCTCTGGATCTACAAGTGAGTAAGCAGAAATAAGCTGCGCCAAGGTGTGAATATCTTTTGGATTTTGTCTAAAAGAAAAAAATTAGAATGTTACCGGATGATTTATAAAACTGGAGAAAGTAACAACAGATAGAGTAACTCCCTCATATCAAGTAGCAGCAAAGTAATGCACTTCCACATCTCCACCTTCCAGAGCTTACTTCCATAGCTGTTCTAGGTCACTAATAGCCTCCTTCTTCCGGCCATACTTGAGTTTAAAGTTTGCAGCTTCTCTTATCAAGGACAAATGAGCAGGAGATTTGGGCTACAGGTTCAATAAAAAGAAAAAAGTTTAAAGCTAAATATCTAGCAAGTCAATGAAGTTATTTTCATTACCATTACCATTAAAACAAGGGCTCTATCCATTAAATTCCTCATCATACGTTTTAATGAATGTCTGAAACAACAAAATCATTCGTACATACACAGGGAGATGGGTGGACAAATTAGTACAAGTCATCACCAGCTGATGAATTTAATAAACAGCCCATCTCCACTTAGGGCGCATAAAACTTTAGAAACATTCTGCTATAATACCATCTTAAAGATATGCTACCGTAGCTCTCAAAAAATAATCTAACATCATACTTCACAGAACACTGATGCCCCTTCACCAGGAACAGTGCTAACAACGTTAAGTGCCACATGTGTGTATATTTGTAAGTTGGATCCTGCCCACGCAGAGACCTATTCAGGTCTCTGAAGATGTCCCTACTGAATGGACAGTAAACACTTATTCCCTGTACGACTGTTCCACCCATGGGCTCTGCAGCCATTCAAGATGAGCTCATCTATGCAGTCACGCACCAGAGTCATTCTTGAGAATACACACACAAACACCTGTCCACACACAGGAAAGAGCTACAAAAAAGTATAAATGAACTGCATGCTTTTCCCCATCTTACAGCCATTCCTTATTTGTAATAACTTAATTTGGATCTACTATACTGAAAAAAAATGAATTTGATAACCTAATAGCATTCCATTTAAAAAAATAGTGACTTATAATACTTCATTTCTCCAAAATTTTTTCACTACTGCAGCTTATTTTTATGTGAAAACATGCCCTCAAAACATTTTACTCCATTTATTTACCTGATGGTTCTGATACCACTGGATAGCTTGTGTGAAGACTTCAATGGCACTATCAATATCTTCTTCATGGCTGTACATGGTCACTAATGCAGACACCTACCCAGCCAAAGGTACAAATTAATGAATAAAACTCCTTCTTCACTCCCAGATTATGATTTTTTAAAATTAAAAACACTAAAGAAACAGCAAATAAAGGTTTCTAGTCTCTCTGTCAGTACCTGATTTATCATAAAAACTACTCTTTTAGAGAGCATAATAACGTCTAGAATACCATGAACAACAGTGTTTTCCAAATAAGGTAGTTATCCGTAAAATCCACCTTTCCTCTATAGCAGTGCCAGTTCACAAATGGTTTAGAAAGCACAGAAAGTGAGAATAAGCACTTAGAAACATGGGTACAATAAGCCACTGCTGGACATTCTAATGTATGGTCAATGAGATACACACTTGTATGGCTGAACTGCAGTGAGTCAGTGGCCTGAGCTGCAGAAAGCCAACAGAAAGGTTGTCGAGTGTGACGGAGGGCCAGCAAGGAGGCCTGCATGCTGGAATGGAGGGGTGGAGAGGAGTAGCAGGACAGAAAGGAAACAAAAATGGAAAGCTGGATCTTGGAGAAAAATCAGTGACGGTCAGGATCGGTGGCTCAGTCTGTAATCCCAGCACTTTGGGAGGCCAAGGCGAGTGGATTGCCTGAGCCCGTAGTTCGAGACCCGCCCGGGCAACTTGGCGAGACCTCGTCTCTATAATAAATCAAAAACTAGCTGGGCGTGGTAGCGCACGCTGTAGTTCCAGCTACTTGGAAGGCTGAGGCAGAAGAATCGCCGGAGCCCCGCAGGTCAA